ACAAACACACAAACACACAAACACACAAACACACAACACACAAACACACAAACACACAAACACACAACCACACAAACACACAAACACACAAACACACAAACACACAAACACACAAACACACAAACACACAAACACGCAAACACACAGACACACAAACACACAAACACACAAAAAACACGCAAACAACACAGACACACAAACACACAGACACACAAACACACAAACACACAAACACACAAACAAACACAAACAAACACAAACAAACACAAACAAACACAAACAAACACAAACAAACACAAACAAACACAAACAAACACAAACAAACAAACAAACAAACAAACAATCACAAACAAACACAAACAAACACAAACAAACACACAAACACACAAACACACAAACACACAAACACACAAACACACAAACACACAAACATTAACAAACACGAACAAGCACAAACAAACACAAACAAACACAAACAAACACAAACAAACACAAACAAACACAAACAAACACAGACAAACACAAACAAACACAAACAAACACAAACAAACACAAACAAACACAAACAAACACAAGCAAACACAAACAAACACAAACAAACACAAACAAACAACAAACAAACACAAACAAACGCAAACAAACACAAACAAACACAAACAAACACAAACAAACACACAAACACAAACAAACACACAAACACAAACAAACACACAAACACAAACAAACACACAAACACAAACACACACAAACACACACAAACACAAACAAACACAAACAAACACGAACAAACACAAACAAACACAAACAACCACAAACAAACACAAACAAACACAAACAAACGCAAACAACCACAACCAAACACAAACAAACACAAACAAACACAAACAAAAACAATCAACCACAAACAAACACAAACAAACACAAGCAAACACAAACAAACACAAACAAACACAAACAAACACACACAAACACAAACAAACACAAACAAACACAAACAAACAACAAACACACAAACACAAACAAACACACAAACACAAACACACACAAACACAAACAAACACAAACAAACACACAAACACAAACAAACACACAAACACAAACAAACACACAAACACAAACAAACACACAACCACACAAACCCACAAACACAAACAAACACACAAACACAAACAAACACACAAACACAAACAAACACACAAACACAAACAAACACACAAACACAAACAAACACACAAACACAAACAATCACACAAGCACAAACAAACACACAAACACAAACAAACACACAAACACAAACAAACACACAAACACAAACAAACAAACACACAACCACAAACAAACACACAAACACACAAACACACAAACACGCAAACACACAAACACACAAACACACAAACACACAAACAAACACACAAACACACACACACACAAACACACACACAAACACACAAACACACAAACACACACAAACACACAAACACACAAACATAAAGTCACACA